GGGCGGGGAGGGGGGCTTTGCCTCGGCACCCCCTTCGGCCTGAGGGGCAAGCACACCGTGCCTGCCCCTGGGAGCAGGGAGAGCGCCCAGGGTTGTGTGGTGTATGAGTTTATGAAACAGCAAACAAAAGTACAGGAAGATGTTCCAAGTGATGATGATGACGATGACGATGTAGGTTTCCAGGTCCTCCGTGAGGCTAAGGTCTAATAAAGGTGCAAGACTAGATCACAAACATTGAGTGCTCTTGGATGCCGAATCCCAGATACACAGTTTAGGTCCAGATAAAACCATGGACCGGTTTGTGCTCATTCAGCAGTCTGGGAAAATCTGGTCTCTGAAGATGAGTAGTTCCGGTTGGTGTAATTGGTGCGAAACCCAGTGGGAATTGGTAGAGCTTCGTAGTGGGGTCGCCATGCCAAATGCCGGAACGAGGCCGTTCCTGAAGGTAAGCCCTCTCTGCCCCACTTCCCCATCTCCCCAAGGAGAGTAATGGCATTCCCTGCCTCTTGAGTGCTGCCCGGGTATCTGACACGATATGTAGGTATCTGACAACAGTCTGACAAGATGCTGAGCTGCTTGGGTCCTTCTGAAATGGACAAGTATCTTGTATAAACAAGTGTTGAAATTCCATCTGCTTTTCAGTTTGTGTGGATGAAGTCTGGCACCTGTTTGTGCCCTGCCCTGTACACAGCTTATTTTTGCTTCTGTTAAATTAACACCACGAAGTGTGAGCCAGGGAGAGCTTAGTGCAGATTTTCTACCTTGTTGCAAACTGGGCAGTGATAATATTTAATCGTAACTTAATAACGTTTCCTGTCCACTGCATTTTTGCTTTTATACCCAAAAAGGATTGTCATCCGCTTTTACCCACTGGAGCCCTGGCAGATTGGCAAGAACAGAACAGTCATGACTTTCCTCTGATCCCTCAAGCAGCCAGTTGGAACAAAGCAATGATGAAGACAACCTGGAGATGACCAGCTCCATCTACTTGTTTCCTCTTATGATCAAATCTGTGTAGCTCTGCACCTTCACCTGTATGATTCACTTTTGTCTTTGCGTCCCTTGCACACAAAGCTCAAGAGTGGGGCAATCAGCTGTACTGATTTTATTAAAATAGTTCAATGTCTTTGTCTCAAGCCTGTCTTGTAGCCCAAAGGCTCTCCCGACGCCTGCGGCTAAGCCATTGCAGTCTGGTGATGGCCACATGTGGGCCTAGAAAAAGATCTCTTGTAGTAGCAAAAAGTTTTAATTCCAAAACGTGTTTGGCTTTATTGAGGACCAAAGAGGTTCTTGGGTTCCTCCAGTTTATCTCAGATTCGCGAGGCAGAAAGATCCTTCTTTCAGTTTCTCTGTGGCAGCAAAAGGGTCCCAGGCTGGCTAAGAAGACCTGGGAGTCAAATTCTCTTTTCAGGGTCCCCGAAAGCCCTTTATGAAAAGTGAGGTAATTATTGGGAGGGGAGTTTGTGTATTTATATAATTTTTTATTTAAGGCTCATGTCAGATCTTGTGCTCTGGGCTGTACTATTGCTACCCCCAGTGGCTGCTCCTGCAAAGTGTTATTTGTCTGCAAGATTTTCATGGCTGAATGTGTGCTGATGGCAGTGTGTAGAGGCGGGAGTTGCTTGTGAAGAATTGCACTGTGCCACAGGAAAATATTTTGAAGGTTCTGCTACTGCCAGCTTTAGTTTCTGTCATTCACCCAGTTGTTCAAAATACTTTTCCTCACCCCGCTGCTACAGGGAGTTTTGGGGTGACGCAGCATCTCGCTGTGTTCTGTTGATGGCGTTTTCAGCTCACTGTCCCTGCCGGGAAGTGTTTTGGGTTTTTAGGCCCCATACGCTCCCTCACTTTATAACTGGAATACACGTGGCATTTTATTAAAACAAAAGCATGGTACTTTTTATGTCTAATGTTATCTCTGCCTTCCACTGATAATGAAAATATTTATCAGTTTTGTTTCCACTATGTCATATGGTCAGGTTGCAGACAGGGAGATCTGCGAGCATGCAGACTTGGGACATGGAGGACCATGGAAGTCCAAAGCTGAAGGGTGCTTCTGCACTCGTTTGTCATTCTGATGGGAGTTGTATTTGTTTATGACTTGAGGTCTCAAGATAGCTGAAAATATTCCCTCTAATTATCATTTGAAGTTGGTTGTTCCCTATGCAGCATAAGCATGTTTGCAACATCTGTCAGGACTATAATACCAAACACAAATTTGTGTATCAGGCTAGGGGGGGCTACACTTAATCTGGTTAATAAAATATATCAAAGCCTTTTTTGATAAGTGTCAGTTTATTGGTTTAAAACTGGGGGGTTTTTTAGCTTTCAGTACTTGGAGTCAGGTATCATGGCTGCCCAGGTCCCTGCACTTTCTCAGGAGGTCTTTTCAACTAAGTTTTTGAAACTGGGGTAACGAACAGGTAGGTGAACTGAGTCGGAGACACATGTGTAACTCGGGAGTACTCTGTTGCAGGGAAGAGGGTGGACAGCCCTGGCTTTGCGAAAGGGCTTGACCGACGTGAAGGTGAATATTCTGAAAGGCAGAAAATACTGTTGTTTTAATTCTGATCTGCAGACACGCATTTCCTGGAGGTCCTTCTACCTCGTGAAGGAACAAGCACAAACTCTTGCCAGTGCATTTGTTTCCTTTAAAGAAACCCTGCTCTGTGCCCCAGTTCTCCTTTTTCGGGCCATGTTGGCCACTGCTAGGCACTGCCGCAGGCTCTGTGCCTTTCTCGTGCCCTCAGCTGCTCCCTGTGTGGGCTCTTGCCTGGCAGTGACTTTCCCGGCATTGCAGAGCTGAGCAGGAAGAGATAAGAAAGGAGAGGGAAAGCTTAGAAAAGAGTATGCCATGCAAAGATGCATACTGAATAAAATGGGTTCTCTGTGACTTTCCCACCCATTTCCATGTTGTGTCTGCATTCTGGCATTACCTGACAAAACATCCCAGAATACAACAAAATCACGACGAAGCTGCTGGGTCAAGGACTGTCCTGGGAATTTTATGGTTTATGGACTTTGAGCTTTAAGAGTAGTTAAAACATTAATCAAAGGATCATTTGGTTATGAATTGTTTGTGCCTCAGTCTGAGCCAGTTGATCTTTTTTGGTGCTGCGGTCTGTCAGAATGAGATCCTGACAGTCCTGTGAGCTTGCAGCTGGCTGTTTTCCTTCATAAACTGCTGGTGCTGAATATCCTTTTTGTGTTTGTGATGCTTTGAAGAGATGGCCTATTTTTCCTCCACTGAGCTAACGTTAGAGTAGGTTCATGCAGTATGCTAGGGCTTGAGGTTACCCTGCAAAGCAGCTGTGCAGCCCCCTGAAACCCACCCGAGAGCACGCACACAGAAACCAACAGAAGCAGGAAACATTTTCTCACATCTCTGTTGCTTATGTTTCCTAGCTGGGGAAAATCAGACATACCACCCTTATCTAGGGCTCGGCAATAATCTTATAAAATCCCTTTCCCTTGAACGCTACATGCAGATTGTCCCTCTTCCATGGGATGGAGCCTGCCTGACATCTGGATTTAATACCTGCTGGCTATGGTAGATCTTTTTACCGTTGTACTGACCCTGTCACCTGCCAGGCTTAACCTCCTAAGGTTGACTAATATTTCTGCTCCCAGAAATGGCCTCTGTTGGTGTGTTTGAGAAGTGTGTAGGCATGTTTGCAAATTCAAAGGTAATGACCCGATTTTGAGCACTCTGTAAGTGTTTCCTAGCTACAGACCTTTGAAGTGAGGACAATCTGTGTATTTACACAAGAGAGGACCGGTGAGGCCCTGAGCACGCTGAAGGGCACCACTGGCAGAAAAGTATTACAGAATCACGATAACTTGGGAAGTTACTCTCCAAGCACAACAGTGTGACGCTGCTGTTCACAGTCAACCCTGTTATTTGTGTGTCATGACAGAAAGATAGGCATTATTTTCTCCCACAAACGGGACTCTGGGGTCCATACATTTGGGATGAAGAGGATAAATGCTGATTCAGTGAACCGCTTGAGTGCAAGCTTTAACTTCATCAGTGTGATGTGACCTGTTGCAGCAAGAAGTGGCTTTAAACACGTGGGTTTATCCCACAGACGGAGCAAGGCTCGAGTGTGCCCTCGTCGCCCCGCGCCTGCTCGGGGGCCGTCCTGACCCGGTGCCTGCCCCAGGAGGGCTTGCGTAGGCTGCAGGTAGCACACCTTTCCTTTAAGACAAGCTGCAATATCATCACCTTACGTTCAAATAAAATTATTTCTGCCAGGAGCTGTCACAGTTAAGGTTTGGCTTGGGTCACTGCCGCCATCATGCAGAAACGCCATTCCCACCTCCCAGGGGCATAAAAGCGTGTTCCCCCCTCCAGTTAGCACCACGGCAAGTTTTAGGGAAAACCGGGAACTTTGGGATGACTTCCAAACCCACTGGAAAGGGTATCCGGAATTTATTTAAGCTTTTGCACACAGATCCCACACAACGACGCGCGGCCCTGTCACGCCTCCGCCCCCTCAGCCCCAGCTCCAAATG